TGTTTGCCTCGATCACACCCATAACAGAGCCTCCTGGGCCCTGCCTAAGTGGCTCTCAGGAGCTGCTGGATGGAACACCACCCAGTGCTGAAATTACAGGAGAAAGAATAATAAAGAACTGCGGGAGTTAGTTGTCTCCACTCAGAGATCTTGGGACTGGCTGAGATGGAATAGCAAGTCCATTAACAGGGTCCAGGGCAGCTGGAAGGCTGGACAGGAAGTGGGCGTGTTTCCTGCCTCCTTTTCCTAGATTCAGGAGTGGGGATTTTCCCCCATGTTGGGGTCTACCCCAGGGCCTGGTCCTGCTGCCACCACCCTGCAGAGGCAGTGCAGTGCAGTGGAAAGAGCTCTGACCCATCAGTGGACCCGAGTTCTCATCTCAGTTCTGGTTGGCTCATGGGGGTACCAGGCCTACATGCTGTGGCCACTCTGGGCCTCAGTTTACCAGTCTGGGAGTGACAGGGAGGTCACTGTCACTGACCTCCCTGTGGGGCATCGCCCTCTCTTAGAGCCCCTGGCAGGTTAAGCCAACACTTAAGCTTATTTCTCTCTGTGTCCTCGTTTTTCTCCTTAGCCTGGCAGCTCCTCAGGGCCAGGACGAGCCTGATGTGCCTCTAGACCACAGCATGGGGCTGGCTGGGCACATAGAAGGTCAGCACCTAGCATCTCAGTGCTCTCCCAAGTCCTTCAGCCTTGAGTTCATTCCAGTTTGCCCTTTGCTCTCTGCCCTGACAGATGACATGGAGGTGCTGCTGTCAGTCTTGTAGAATGGTGGGCTACCCAGGACCCCCTTAGACTCTAGAATCAGACATCAAGGCCTGGCTCTACCGTGTAATAGCTGTGCAATCCTGGAGTGCCTTTATCTTTCCAAGCCTCGGTTCCTTGGCAATAAAATGGGGCGATTGATCCCTTACTGCGAGGAGTCCAGGATTAGATGAGCTTATGTAGGTAGAAGCCACACTCCCTGTTATTGTTACTCTCACGGCCCCATTCCACTGATGAGAAAATGGAAATGCAGTCAGGGGCAGAGCCAGGATTCGAACCCAGTTCCTTCCAAATCTTATTTCTTCATCTAAAAGAGATGCGAATGGGAATGTGGTGTTGTGAGGAGAGCCCTGGGCTACAGTTAGGAGATGTGGCTCGGATGCCAACTAGTTTTCTGTGGTCTTGGAGAGGTCACACCTCTGTTGTGGGCCTCTCTTTTCTCCTCCCCTGCAAATGTTGGAGGAAGGGATGATAGAATCTGTCAAAGCCACTTAACAGGTGGCCCCTGGACAGGTGCCTTTCTCCCTAAGCATCTAGTAAGGAACCACAGCCACCCTAGTCTAGCCTCCGGGGTGCCATCTACCCTGATCCACTGCATCCCTGGAAGGTTAATTAGGCAGCACCTGCAACCGAAGGCATCCAGCACCCATGGGGGGAGACGGTCTAAATGGAGCTGGGCCTGCTGGCCAAGCAGCCTTCCAGATGCACCCTTTTTGGGTTCCTCAAAAGCTTCCAGTGAGTGGAAGCCTCACCAGAGAGTTGTCCTGCATGGAAGAGCACATCAGTATCATCAACTTTGAGACTCCCTCTTCCTCTCACCTTCCACCACAGTCCACTCTGCCTGCCTGCTGGGTCTGTTCAGAGTTTGGGGAAGAGAGCGGCCCCTGTCCCATCAAAGGTCAGAGCCCTCAACGTGGATCCTTTTTCGTTGTTGTCTTCCTCATGTGTAGCCTTTTGCCCGAGTGGGTAACAAATCCAAAAGAGCACAAAGTCCGTCTTCTCCAGACCTACTTGTGGATCTCTTGTTGAGAATGCAGGCTGGGAAGGAAGATGAGACCACTTTTTGTGGCCTAATAAAACAAAGGGCAGCAGAGCCCCTGACTCCTCATAGAGATGGGCAGTTCATCTGTCATGTTCTTTGCAGAAGCAAATGCTTCCACAAACAGGGTTCTCCACCCATGAGACTGCTAGGCTATGTGGGGTTCTTCCTGTGATGCCACAGGGTCTTAGGGACACAGCCTAGACACAGGGAACGTAGTGACGGAGCTCTGGGCTGAGTGGAGATAGCGGAGACGCAGAGGAACTCTCCGTGGATGTGGACATGGGTGGCCTGTTGGGAAATGGCAGGCGTTTGGCTCTGTGCTGAGAGGTGGGCAGGCAGAGTCTGTCATTTCCTCACTGCGGGTGGGAGAGGAGCTCTGTGCCCTGGGGAGGTGGGCACTGAGCTTTAGCTTGGCTTCTGTCAAGAGTGTGGTATCATTTTTCTCCCTAAGTGACTGGCTGGCCTGGGCCAAGATTCCTGGTCCTCATCGTTCCAACCCCCTAGCTCCAAGTCAGAGGGAAGACTTCTAGCTGCTGTTCCTGCCCCAGATTTAACAGCTCACTCCCCACCATTCCCCATGAGCCAGAGAGGTTGTGGATCTGGGCTGGGGCCTCCCTGACCAGCCTGGCTTCATCCTTACTGCTTGTCAGCCTTTTTTCTTAAGGCAGCTGCGCCAAGAGCAAGCTTGTGCCCCCTCAGCTTATCCAGGGACTGGTCACCAGAGTCCTCCAGGGGCACTCCTGTGGGAGGCGCAGGGGAGGCACACACGCCAGCCTTGCTCTCTGGATCTCAGCAGACCCAGGTTGGAGCACTGGGCCTTTGTAAAGGCTGCCGTAGATTGAGGCCCCACCGTGTGTGCCACATGCTCTTAGGTGTTTCACATCTGTTTTCTCTAATGGGTCAGTGAGTCAGCCACCTGCCCTCCCTGACCACTGGGCACACAGGTGTGAGGGGCTTGCCCAGAGCCCTGCTGCTCGCCCTGAGGAAACACTCAGTTACCAGGAAGGGAAGGACGCGAGGGAGGAGGCACTCCCTTCTTGCCAAGAGCCGAGGAACTGACAGGAGGCCTTTCACCCCCTCTTGGCAACTGGACCTCACCCTTGAACCTTCCTCCTCTGTTCTTTTCATATTTCTTTTTTTTGGGGTTGGCTTCAAATTATCTTGTTTTGTTTACATTACACCCAAGTTTCATGGTACAAAAGACTTGCAGGTGCAAATATGTCCCGCCTTCATTAACTCCCCTCCCTTTTTAATTTATGTGATTTCAATTTTCCTTCCCTGTACTGTTAATTAGGGGACCCTCTAATCAGTGCCATTATCACAGTGGTATTCATGTTTAGGAAAGCCGCTAAACAAATGCTTGCAAAATTGCTAAATGGCTAATTAATGTCTGTTAATTAAGAAAATTGCTCATGGTAACAAACCATGCCGTTGCTGGCAGCCGCTAGAAAGACACACACTTGTTGAAATTAGTAGCGTGGCAGGTAGGGGAACATCTGCTCCTCGGAGCTTTCCGGAAGTGAGCAGCTCCTCGCTTGGCCAAGAAACTCCCAGGCCTGTCAGCGGCGGCGCCCTCGGGTTCCTGTACAGCCCCCTGCGATGTTCTCTGCACACCTCTTCTCTGTGGGCCCACGCCCACCGGCTTGGGCCCGCCCCTCCTCTCCAGTGGGCAGGCGGCTGGCAGCCTGGCTCTGCAGGAGAAGGCCGAGGGGGAAACCCTACCTAGGCAGCTCCTCTCTCTTTCTAATTTAGCCACACTCACCCCCTGTGCACATTTTGAATTTTTCTAAAAACCAACTTCTAAAAAACAGCACAGTCATGGGTGGGGAAGAGCGAATGGAGGCCTGTCTCCTCATCCCTGGCATCAGCGTCCCGCTCTGGGTGGGCTGGAACATGCTTCTGAGGCAGCCCTCTACGCTTGCGGACCCATGGTAGGAAAGTCCTTTGGTGTAGCCCAGTCTACACACACATGAATATCTACACACAAAACCAGGGTTCGTGAAAGACACCTGCCTTAAAGTACACAAAGCTCTCTGATTTTTTTTTATTACCTCAGATTTTTAAGAAATAATTGTTGCAGCTTGCTAAATTGCTGAGTGAGTTTCTACCCATAGTTTGTAACCCCAAGGTTGAAGTGAATTCATCTGCCCATGTCTTCTGGGGTGAGGGGGTGGGGGGTCAAGGTCAGCATAGCCCAGGGTTCAAGCGGTGGGGGTGGGGATCAGCTTGGAACTGAGGTGTGGAAAGGACAACCCACCCACTCGCCCAGCAGGCAGGGGTCCCCACCCTTCATGCACTTCCCCGTCTCCCCACCTCTGCACTGGAACTCTTGGGTTTCAGGGCTGGAGATGGGCATCGGACCCATGGGGTTTCTCATCCCGGCTCTGCCACTGACCAGTTTTGTGGCCATGGTCAAGTTCCTTCATCCCTTGAGACTCAAATTCCTCATCAGTAAAAATTGGAGTGAGAAACCCCACCTCCCAGAGCTGCTTTGAAGTGCAGGTGAATTTACGGTTTGCGAGTGTGCACTGCCCACACCATGTGGCCCTCACTCACTGTCCCCCCACTCCCTGTGTGTGACATCTGTGGTGCCCTTTGCCCCTCTTGCCTCTGTTATTTATCCATCGGTGCCCCTGGCCCTCCTGACCCCAGGAAACCTGTCACCTGGGCATCTCCCTGACACTCGATCAGTCCTGCCTCGAGTCACCCATAGCCGTGTCACTGTCCCCCAGACTGTGAGCTCCTTGAGGGCAAGGCCTTTCCTGATCCTTCCCCACCTCCCACGCAAGTGGCACCTACGTGCTTTGCACCTGGATCCCCTGTTTCTGTGCGTCACTGTACTCCCTCTGAGCCTGTCTCAACCAACGTATTTAACATGGCAAACTCTGCTCCAAGGGTAGGCTGTGTCCAGGACTGTACTCCCGTGTGCTTTGACAGAGGTGCTTCATTTTTTGTTCTTTCAACCCTCTGTGAATGTATTTATCAGCTTCTCTCGCTCCCCCTCGCCGTTTTACACCGTTGAGCCGGTGACCAAAGCAGCAGCTCCACCACCTCCCACCAACCAGAGCCCGCCCCCCGCACGCCCGCCCGCCGCCCACCCTTCGTTTTGGTTTAATTTTTGTTCTTTTAAGCTTCTTCTGCGCTTCTCCATGTGCTGTGATCTATAACCTGCCTCTACTGTCTGGCCTCACAGGGTCCTCCGGGGTCACAGCCCTCGCCGCACGCACAGCCTCCACCTCACAATCCTAGCAGCATGATGGGACCCCACAGTCAGGTAAACGCACCGTGGCGCTCCCGCCCGCCGGGGACGCGGGGCGCGGAGGAAGCAGAGAGCCCGCAGAGGAAAAACAAAAATCAAAATGTGCTCTAGCCACTGCCTGCGAGTCTTTATTGACAAATTAAATTTTTTTAGAAATTTCTTTTTTTCTAAAGATAGTCTTCAGTCCTCGGACCTCACACCCAGCTTGGATACAAAACCAAAAGGAAAATATATATATTTCTGTGACCTTGTCAGCGGCCTTTGCGTTTTTGTTTTTTCCTCTCTCACTTTTGGTTTGGTTTTGAGTTTGGTTCACCATTTGTTTGTAACCGAAGCTGCATCCCAAGCCTTTTCTTTGTGCACTCGCGCTGCTGAGAAAGCTTTCCTGCCATTCCCCTGCATTAAGTTAGGGAGCCCGCTGTCTCCTTCCCGTTTCCATGGCGTTTTCCCCCCAGTCCTGGCTCCCATCTCCATCCCTGCTGGTGGTTTCTGTGTGTGTGTGCCTGTGTGCGTGCTCGTGTGTCCAGCTTTGTCTGCAGACCCTTAAAATGTTATGTATAAGTCCTTCTTAGCCTTTTATTTGCCCTTATGGAGAGCAGAGGTTTCCTCCTCTGCCCTGCATTGATTTAACTGTTTTTCCGTGTCTTATGCAAAGTCCCAGCCGCTGCCCGTCCACCCAGAGTAGATCTCCACAAACAAATGTGGAGTCAGGAGACGCATTTGTTGTGTGGATCTGTCGTTCCCTCTGCCCAAAGGAAGTTTTGCTCAAAGGGAAGAGGCTACCAGGAGAAAGATCACTAGTTATAACAAAACTGGACTTTGTGGAGTGGAGAGCATTTGTGTTTGTCACTGTGCAGTAGGGCAGGCTGTCACTGAACTAATTCCCTATAATTGCAGCCTTTTATGTCACCGCGATACGCCGGCGGCCCCAGGCCCCCGATCAGAATGGGAAACCAGGTACTGTACCTTTTCATGTTCTCTCTCCCCTCGTTCAGCCATCCTTGGCCCTAGGTGGACTTTGACACAAAATGAAAGTTGAGGGAAAGGATTGAGGGGTGGAGGGACAGGTTTAACGTGGCTGGTAGCTTACTAGCTGTTCCCCAGAGAGGGCCCCACGTCCCCACTGTGCCCATGGTGCAGCAGTTCACCTGCCTCTCCAGATGGCCTTTGGACAGCCCATTCTGGAGTTCAGAAGGTGGCAGCAGATGGAGCCAAGGCGCATCTGGGATTGCAGGGTTTCGGCTATTCTAGAGAAGATGGTAATGCCCTGCCCCTCCCTTCCACCCCCTTCTTGGAAGAGGGTCTTCCTCCTTAATGAAGTTAATTGACAATGTGCATTTTTTCCTGGAAGCTTTTGAGAATTGCCAAGGCTGGTAAATATAATCCTGCTATTAGGGGGGGAAATGGCCCGTAGGAATGCTTAGATCAGGAGCCTGGATGCAGCGGAGCAGGAGATTTGTGAGTTTTTCAGCAATGTCTGCCTGCTTCCCAGACCCAACTCAAAACAAGAAAGGATTTGTTCATGTAATTAGAAAAGGAGTCTGATTATGGGGAGGGCCTTTTGCCTGGGGTCATATGCCTTTCGCTGGCCCATTAGGGTTGGCAGTTCTAGGTGGTCTGGAGAAATCAGCCCCCATGCCACCCTCCCTGGTTCAGGGCAGGAGAGGAGTTGCAGAAGTAAATATGAATAGATGCCTCTTTTGAGGATAGACAGACTTAAACTTTCAAGAAACATCAGGGAAATTTTATGCCCCAGTTTTTTTAAACAGAATTATTTCAGTGACTTTGCAAAAGCCCTTCAAAAAAATCTGACAGCAGTGCCAGCGCATCCAGCCCCTGTTGCCTTTGGAACTGGGAGTTTAGTCACCAGCTAAATTGGCATTGTCGGAGTGTGATGCTTTTCATTCTCAGGGCTCTACAAGAAGGCTCCTGAGTGAGGTAATGCAGGCACTATGGAGAGATGATCATAACCAGGGGTCTCCAATTGTCTTTTTTTTTTTTTTTTTTTTAAACCAGAGTCTCGCTGTCTTCCAGGCTGGAGTGCAGTGGTGCAATCTCTATTCACTGCAACCTCCGCCTCCTGGGTTCAAGCAGTTCTCCTGCCTCAGCCACCCAAGTAACTGGGATTACAGGTGTGCACCACCATACCCGGCTAATTTTTGTATTTATAATAGAGACAGGGTTTCCCCATGTTGGCCAGGCTGGTCTCAAACTCCTGACTTCATGTGATCTGCCTGCCTTGCCTTCCCACAGTGCTGGGATTACTGGCATGAGCCACCGTGCCTGGCCAGCTCTCCAATTTTAATGTTAAATTGCCTATCGGGTTCCCATCTTTTTTTTTCTTTTCTTTTTTTTTCTCCAAAAGTCCTTTATTTTCTATTTTCTCTGACATGAAGGGGACAAATTTGGACAAGAGGAATTAAAGACGCAGCTTTTTGAGCAAAAGAAGGGGTCCCTGGATACATCACAGATGAGGAAACAAAAGGTCAGAGTGGAGGAGTGACTTCCCAAAGTGAGCTGGGCTGGAGTTGATCTTGGTTCCAGCCCAGTGCTGATTGTACTCCACCCCACCCCATTCATCAGCTTTCACAGATGTAAGATTGCTGCCCCCATCTGTGTTTTTAACCCATCACCACTGGGCCTGCTTTGCCGTGGCACATAGGGGCCCCAGCAGCAGCCTTCCCACCAGCCCACCCAGGAGCTCTTCTTGGTCCAAACTGGCCTCTGCCAGGGAGAGAGGAGCTACTTCCTTATCATAATTGTGGCCCTTCTTCCGGCAATTAAAGGATATGGAGAGGGGGTGTGTATGTTTCTGCTCAGCAACTAATCATGAGCAACCACTCGAGAGCAAACTGGGGATAAATCCATCATCTGTACTTTGCATTACACACCAGTTTTCCCAACCTCCCTGCCACCCCCCAGTAGAAATCTACACTGGGGCTGGGCGTGGTGGCTCATGCCTATAATCCTAGCACTTTGGGAGGCTCAGGCAGGTGGATCACTTGAGATCAGGAGTTCAAGATTGGCGTGGCCAACATGGTGAAACCCTGTCTCTACTAAAAATCCAAAAATTAGCCAGGCATGATGGCGTGTGCCTGTATTCCCAGCTCTCTGGGAGACTGAGGCAGGAGAATCACTGGGACCTAGGAGACGGAGGCTGCAGTGAGCCAAATTTGCGCCATTGCACTGCAGCTTGGGTGACAGAGCGAGACTCCGTCTCAAAAAAAAAAAAAAAAAAAATCTACTCTAGTTTTCCAGTTCCCTTTGACCTCAAGAAATTTTTATCCTCCAAAGAGGCATGTGCCCCTTCCACAGGTATTGTCCCTGGGGGTTTCTTGAAGAGTGCCCTCGTCGGGGCTGCCAGTTAACAGAAGTCCTGTGCCACCCGAGTTAGCTCAGTTCTCTCCTGTGATGAGTGGAGGGAGCAGAGACTAGAGGACTTGCTGGGGCTCACAGGCCATTATGAATGTGCCTTCTGGGTGAGGGGAGTGAGAAAGGGCCCTTAGGGGAACAAGAAGCAAAGGGTCAGTGACGTGGCCTCAGGGTCCTTGGTGACTCAGCCTGCCTCCCATTTGCCTCCCTGGCTAGAGGCTGTGCATGGAGAGTTGCTGTTTTTTCAAGTGCGGGTGGTTGGATGGGTGGTGACAGTGGAGTTCAGCTGGGTTTAGGAGGGAGTGGCTGGAATCCAGGGTTGTCAGAGAGCCCTCCCACACGCATCTCAGCGGAGCTCCCACCTGGCAGGCTGGCTGTGCTGGCGGGGCAGGTGAGACAGCACGCGGATGCAGCAGGGATTTGTCCATTTCCTGGGCAGATGCTTCCTGTGCCTTGCCCCACACGCAGTGCTGTGGGAGAAGAGCTGGCCTCTGTCCAGGAGCCCCAGAGCAACTCGCTCCCCTGTAGGCCCCAAGGGTGTGTGCACAGCGTGTAATTATGGCCCCATATACGAGCCATTGTTTTTCCTCAAGTTTGAGGGCTTTAGCCCTCTCAGGGTGAGACCCCTTCCCTTGGTGATTGCACAGCTTCTTTCCCTGATAGAAGAGGCCCAGACTGTCTGTCCCTGTCTCAGGGTCACCTCAGTGAGGAACGTGACCTCCAGGCCTCCTCTGAGCCTCTGGACAGCCAAGCTTTGCCTCTGGAGTTCCGATACATAAGAGGGTTAGAGGAACCCACGGAGGAACTTTCTCCAAGAATTGGTGGTCAGCACTGGGCTACCTGGAGAGAGTGACTGCCAAGCCCCACGGCTGCACTGTCAGGGTTGGATGAGGTGGTCCTGCGCTGGGTAACTCATGACCCTGACGGTCCCCCATCCACCTCCGTGTCCTGGGATCCTGCACTCCAGACAGCCTTAGAGGCGGGCCTTCCTGAGTCACCAGAACTCTATAAAAACCACAAACCCCCAGTGGGCAGACACAAACTAGCCAAGTGATTCAGAGCTGGGGAACCTGGGGCCAGGAAGCAGGGCTGGGAGACAGTGAGAGGCCGGAACAACTAAAATCCAGGGATTGGAAAGACACTGAGCCCCCACAGGCAGACGGAAACAGCAGGTGCTAATTGCCACTTTGTGGGCCGGGCGCAGAGGCTCACACCTGTAATCCCAGCATTTTGGGAGGCTGAGGCAGGAGGATTACTTGAGCCTAGGAGTTTGATAGGAGTCTAGGCAACATAGTGAGACCCCATCAATACAAAACATTTAAAAATTAGCCAGGTGTGACAGCGCGTGCCTGTAGTCCCAGCTCTTGGGATGGCTGAGGCAGGAGGATTGCTTGAGCCTAGGAGTTCGAGGCTGCAGTGAGCTATGATCACACTACTGCACTCCAACCTGGGCAACAGAGCAAGAGACTCTGTCTTAAAAAACAAAACAAAACAAAACAAAAACCAATTCTACTTCGTGAACGTTAGACACTCCCTAGGCCCTCACACAATCCTCTTGCACCTTAACCACACCCACCTGCTCCCCTGTTCCATTCTGAAGCTGGAGAAATCAGTGACAGTCTGTCCCTTCGCTTTCCACCACCTTGTTCCAAAACCGGTTTGGAGTTCACCATTGAGCTCAAGGCAGAGGAGCTCCCCACTCAGCCTCCCCAACAGCAGCACAGCCTGGGCTGGGGGCCCTTGAGGACAGACCCCTGTCACAGATGCCCAGCCTTTGAGCAGCACTGGCACCTGCCAATAGGGAAAGATGACCAGCCATCACCAAAGGCTTTTCCTCTCAAAGGCAAAGGCTCGTATTTAGCCCTAAGGGATGGGGTCCTAGAAACAAAGTTCCCCCAGCAAATCCTACTATCTTTTTCCTGTTGCAGCTGAAATAATTTCAGTCTCAAGTAAATCGCTTTTAATAGGTTTTCACAGCGGGTGGGCCAAGTGTTCACCCAGGAAACCCGTGGCCCCCACGTTTATCTTCTCATTAGCAACCACACCAGCACCGCTGATGGCCCCAGCTCCGGAGCCGGGTTCTCGTCCAGTACCCCTGCCCCTCTCCTAGTGGCCACCTCTCCCACCCCAGGGCTGGGTGGCATTCCATATTGTAGAAGCTGATGGGATATAACCTGGGTGCTGCTTGGCTCTGCAACCTGTGACTGGGAGCCCTCAGGCCTGTGACCTCAGTTTCCCCATCTCAATCCTAAAATCCTCCTCATCCTCTGTTCCCCTTTAAACAGGGCTTCCCACAGTGATAGGATTTTAGGTAGTGGGTGTCTCAGTCCCCGTAATTTGGATAGAGCTAAAATGAGGTGTGTCTCTGTGAGACAAAGGCAAGATGAGATTTGGGCGGAAGGAGGGAGTGGGCACTGCTGCCTCTGAGAAAAAGGTGGTCGGTGCTGCAGCCAGAGCAAGACCTAGAGAATTTGGTCTCCTGCCTCATTTCAGAGCTCTGATAGGTACCCAGACTCCCTACCCCAAGACAGCAGGATGAGGTGACAATTTCGCTCCCACAGAGCCCCGCAAACAATGACACGGTTTTAGCTAACACCAGTTTGAGCTGACTGGTAGGCCTGGGGTGACCTTCTCCCGTTGGCAGGCAGCAGAAGTGGTCTCAGGGAGGCCATGAGTGGCCCCACGTGGTCAGGTGGGGAACTGGGTGGGACAGGTAGATGCCTCTCCCCATGTCCAGCAGCTCCGGAGCAACTGCTCAGCTTGTGTCTTGCATCTCTTTCAGCCTCCAGGAGGAGTTCCTGGGACACAGCCATTGCTGCCCAATTCCATGGATCCCACACGACAACAAGGTAGAGAGGGCGGGGTGGGCCTAGGGTGGCTGGGGATGCCAGGAGGGGCTCCTCCTCCCTTGACTCCTGCCACCCCATGGCGCGCCTCCTCTCTCACACAGGCCACCCCAACATGGGAGGATCAATGCAGAGAATGAACCCTCCCCGAGGCATGGGGCCCATGGGTCCTGGCCCACAGGTAACCACTGCCTGTCTGTCTGTCTGTCTCCCTGGCCATCTGTGTGCACCCGCCTTCTCTCCTCTTTCCATGCTGTCAGTCTCCCACATCTCTCAGTTCGCAGGGGTGAGAGGAAGGGCATGGCCACATCCCCTGCTCCTGTCCCCTTCTGTGGCAGACTGGCCTCGCGCTGCCCAGGGTAGCCCCTCGCGGATGACAGGCAGAGTTGAGGCCCCCCTCCCCCAGGGAGCTAGGAAAAAGGGGACAGCTGAGGCCTTCTAGTTGGCAGACCCTTTGGGGGTACAGTATCCTATCATGGGGTCTGAAGGGCAGGGAGCTCCTGAACCCCAGAGCTGCCTCCCCTGGGTGAGGTAGACTTGGGATGGCTTAGGGCCAGCATTGGTTGTGTCCCAGAGGCGGGGCAGATGAGTGGCCTTCCTAGCTCTGCCTGCAGCTCAGCATGCTTCTGTCCTTGGATGAATCACTTTGACCTCTGTGGGCCCCAGCAGGCCTCAGTTTCCCCACCTGTTAAATGAGGACTGTGTCCATGACTCTCTGATGAGGGGGCCACACTGACAGGACCCCAGCACCCACTTCAGCCGGGATTCTTTCTGACCAGAGGGCTCCGCTGCCGCAAAGGGCAGTTTAGAAGCCATTGGAGGGAAGCATTTCAGGTGCCCTCACATACCTCTTACGGTCACAACAAAGTCGTCGCCCCTTGTGGCCAGCTCCGCACCCCAGGTAGGGGTGTCCAAGAAAAGGTCTGACAGGTGTTCTGCTGTGGAACCATCTCACTGCTTACCGTGAGCCCTCTGGGTGTTTGCATGTGGCTCTGTTTCCTGTAGTAGCCGTGGCAGAGTGGTCGCGATGTTCCACTCGCCTTGGGAATTCTCTAGCCCCTGACTAAAGGAAGCTGGAAATCTGAATAAGGCAAGGGGCTTGTTCTCAGGTGTTCTTTCCCTTCTTTTCTGTTCTGCCTGGAGTCTGCTGCACTGGTCGCTCCCTCGGTTGCATGTGGGTGTTCAGGACTCTCCGGGCCCCCTGCACTGGTTTCTGGGTCCCCTGGGGGTGGAGTAGTGTGTTCCCCATTCCCGCCCACATGTGCTCCCTTTTGTAGGGAGAGGCATCTGCCCCACAGAACCACAGCCCTCTGCTCCATCCCAGAATTGTATTTACAGCAAGCCCAAGCCACCGCGTTCTTCTCAGTGGTGGTTGGAACATCTGTGGTGGTGAAAGATTTTAGGGAGGTCCTTGTCTTCTGCCAGCCCCATAATCCTAAAAGGAAGCAAGCCTGCAGTAGTCGCAGCTCCAGTATTCTAGTTTTGTTCCTTCCTCAAATCCTCCAGAATTCGTGTTTCTGCTAGCTCCTTGTAAGCTGCCAGAGTGGCCCCTTCCTGCCTGGCAGACGCTTGGAGCTGACCTCTGCAGGGCTGCCTGCCTAGGGAAGGGGGCGGGGGGCAGGGTAGGAGCAGAGCTTCCCCTCTCCTGAGTCAGATGCAGCTCTCCCTCCCCACAGCCTGAGCCGCACAGCAGTCACATTTTATTGGTGTAGAAATCAGCAGTGGCCTTGGATTGTCAGATGTCACGGGGTCTGTGTGACTCAGGAGGATGGAATCTGAGGAGGGAAAATTGAATGCCACCGCCCAGCCTGTGGATTCTGACGCTCAGCAGCTGCATCTGTAAAATGGGAATAAGAACGGTGCCTGACCTGGAGGGCTGCTGGAAGGAGCAGGGTCCAGTGTCCAGTTCCTTTTTTTTTTTCTTTTAGCAGGAATCAAATTCTTTTTTTAATTTTTATTTTTAAAAAATTAAAATATTTTTTATTTTAAAGAAAATGTTTTAATTTAAAAAAAAATTTTTTTTTTATTTTTTTGAGGCAGGGTTTACTCTGTCACCCAGGCCTGGAGTGCAGTGGCGCCATCTCTGCTCACCACATCCTCAGTCTCCCCAGTAGCTGGTACTACAGGCTCCCACCACCATGCCTGGCTAATTTTTGTATTTTTAGTAGAGACAAGGTCTTGCCATGTTGCCCAGACTGGTCTCGAACTCCTGGGCTCTAGCGATTCCCCCACCTCGGCCTCCCAAAGTGCTGGGATTATAGGTGTGAGCCACCGTGTCCGGCCAAGTCAAGTTCTCGATGTGATGCCACAGGGTGCTCCCCCTAAGGAAGATCTTTGTGTTTTCCAACTTTAGGGACTTAAAACCAATGTTTAGGCCTCTAGTTGCTTGGGTTTGGTGATTGCTTTTAATTTCTCCTTCTTTTTTTCCTGGCAAAGTCATTAACAGTTTGTTTGGACCATCGTAACACTGAGATTCTAAAGGCTGGGAATAGATGTCAGGCTGTTTAAGAGCAGCAGGGTGTGCTGGCAGTTCAGGACTTCCTCTGGGCACGGTGGATGTCTCATCATGTCTGCCCCTGACCCGTAGTCCAGCACACTCTGGCACACTTTAAAGAAGTGAGGGTCCCAGAGGCTGAGGCCGTGCACTGAGACTCTCCTGGCCTCACCCAAGCATTGTACAAGGGGTGGAGCTCCCCTTAGACTCCAGGAGTGTCTCCAGCAGGAGAGGGAGAGGCTCACCCATCTTTGTTTACATTACACACCCTTGCCAACCTCAGGAGCTCTGGAAGCGTCTCTCCTGCTCTTTATTTTACTTTATCAATGTGGAGACCCTAAAGCGCTTCACCCATGTTTCCTGTACTCCTCTGGGTAGGGTAAGTATTAAATCCAGAGCCAAACGTCCCTTGAAGCAACCCAGGGTGTCTGCACTGGCCCATCACTGGGGTCAGGAAAGCTTGGCATTGATGAAGCACTGGGCCCGGACAAGGTTGATGGTGCAGGATGGATTACAGGGTCTGTGGTCAGCTAGGGCTCATCTTGGGCCCAGCAGAGCCTGGCGGTTTTGGACTCTGAGTTGGAGAGTAGGGAGAGGGCAGACTGTCCCTGTTCCCCAGGCCCTTTCTCTCTCTCCCCTGAGGGTGATGCCCTGTGGACAGGACAGAACTTAGTTCTGGAAAGCAGTCTTGACAGCAGCTCAGCCTGGCTGGGCCTCCAGTTCGTCATCTGCAAAATGGGCAGCAAGTGGTGGCCTCATGGGGCTACTGGAGGGCGGGCGAAATAGCAGCTGTGTCCCCACACGGTGTCCTGTGGATCCCTTCCCCTTCCTGCAGGCCCTGAGCTTGGGGGAGGCAGCCCTGCCACAGCCCGGGCTGTCAGGAAGGGCGGCCAGCCCCTTCAGCCTAGAGTAAGTGCCACTATGCACACAGTGCTGTGCTGAGACCAGGCACAAAGGTGGGAGACCATCGGCATGTCATTCGTAGCCAGGAATTAGATTGCTTTTAGCCAGTGACCACTCCAGAACTTCCTGAACAAAGAATAGGTACAGTGTGGTCAAGGGCTACTTTATTTCAAAACCAAATGGAGTGACATTGCATTGTGTGAGTCTGTGTCACATGTCAGCCTAAATGTCTCAAAGGAACCAGCAGTGCAGGCATCACCCCGTCCTTCGTCCTCCGTGCTTCAGACGGATTTTACTCTGATTTCGTAAAGTGCCAGTGCCAGAAAGGAGATAGTACTTCCACTTAGAACTCTTCTTTCCAGAAAGTTTTATGTATGTCAGTATCAGGTAGTAACCTCTCATCCTGGTGTTTCAAAAGTGAATTCTAATAGGATGAAGCTAAAACTGAGGCGCCCCTGGTCGGATTTAGTAGGGAGAATGCCAGCCCCCGTCAGAAGAGCAGTGGCTCCCAGACTCCCGGATGCCGATTCCCAGAGCCACTGACATGTTGGCGTTTCTGGTATTCAGGTTAGGGCTGAAGCCAGGACAGAGTAGAATCAGGTCACTATCCTGGTTTGTCTGCATTTGAGAGTTCAGATGAAGGAGAGAATCCACAGCCCCTGGGACGATCTTGTGCCGCCCCCATCTCCTGGGGCTGATCCAGGGCCAATACAAGCTCAGTGACACTGAGCAGAGGCCCCCAAAAGAGAGGGGTAGGTCATTAATCCTGGTCCTGAGCACCCTGGGCTGGTGAGGAAGGAAAAGGGCCCCTTGAGGAACTTAACTCTGGTGGCCCCTGGGGGGTGTCCTGCATGAGATGGCCAGGCCCCCACTGCCCAGAAAATGGCCTGGACAGCCTCAAGTCCACTCTGGTAGGTGAGTCCTAAAGACTAGGAGAGCTATCCCCTAAGGTAATTACAGCACTGGGTGGTCCCCCTCTCTTATCTGCCTCCTACAAGATGCTTGGCTAAGAATGCAGACTCTGGGGGCTGGCAGATCCAGGTTTAAACATAGTGGGCACCTCAAAAGCCTTTCTGAGGATGTGGCAGGAGGGAGCAGCAGTCACCACCTCCAGGCTCCAGCCCCAGCCAGCTGCTTGGTCCTTTCTCCCTGCGGACCCGGCGGAGTACAGAGCTGAGACAGTGGTCGGGGCGCCTGCACTGTTGCTGAGTGTGGATTAGGCCCTCTGCCCAGGGTCTGGGGCACCCAAGTGGGGACTAGGGTGAGGGGTTAGGGAAGACAGGCGCCTGTGAATGTGTCCAGCCCCACAGCTGCACTGGAGGCTCCTCCCCTCTGCCCAGCCGCCCCTGCCCCTGCAGAGTGGTGCCGATGGCAGAGGGATATCTGGTTGGTAACTGACCCTTGCACGGCTTCACCGTCATCACCTCCAGCCATGTGGTGCTGCAGGCAGGCAGGAGCTGGCCAAAGAGGGAGCCCATTTCTACTGAGTCTGAACTTCTAGGCGTTCCTGCCCTATGTGAGAAAACTTCGCTGCAAACCAGATTTCAGCCTGCTACTTGCTCCTGACATCTCTGTGGCCTTGGACACGTCTCTGGCTTTCTGGGCCTCCAAGTTGTCATCTGTGAAATGATGAGGTGCAAGTGGCCCTTCAGGGTCTCTGCCTCTATAGGCGGCGGGACTGGTGGAGAAGCTCCCTCTAGGAAGCTGCCATGCCAACTCTTGGAGAGGCCCCTGAAGGCTGGGCGGGGCCAGGAGCGACAGGATAGTGCACTCGGAACCTCCCAGCTCAGAGCCGCATTCTGCGTGTCAGGAGGGCTTTATGGAGTGAGCGCCTACCTGTCGTCTCCCTCTCACCCCACTCCATGCTGAGACATCCCAGGCTTCCGCTCTCGCTGTGAGGTGCAGGCCTTTCTCCTGGAGGGAGAGGCGGCTGCAGTCCTGGAAAAGAACTCCATCTGGAAGACCTCTAGTCAGCTGGCCTGTACACAGAGGGGGAGAGGGCCTGGGGAGGTGGCAGGCTGCTTGTCCTGGAGCAGCAGGTGGGGAGATGAGGCTGAGATTTGTAGAGGGGATTAGAAAAGGCCCTTTGAGACCCGAGCTTCTGCGATGCTGTGGTAGCATTAAGGGCTTTGGTGTTTGTTCTGCTGCTGACATCCCAAATCAGTGCACACCTCCTGGGGCTTACGGGGCACTTCAGAACCATTGTTTCATTTGATCCACTGGAGACCTGCAAGGTTGGAAACACATGGGGCTCTTTGTCCCCATTTTGTAGACAAGGCAGCAGAGCAGAGGGGATTGTGGCTCTAAAGCCAGAGCCATGCTGCAGGGCTTTGCCCCAGCTCAGCCACTCACAGCTGCACGGTGGGGTCATCATTCTTCCTCTCTACCTCAGTTTTCTGGTCTCTAAAGTGGGTGGAGGAAAGGGGTCATTGTGACAATTAATCGTAGGCAGTGCACACACAGTCTGTGGTACATCTGGGCGTGGAGTCAGCACTGTTGTCATTTGGTAGTCTGCCCATCGTCACCAGCAGGCAGCCAAACCAAGGCCAGCCTTCCTGTGTTCTGACCTCCGGTCTCGTGTTCTGCTCTTTACCCCGTGGTAGAGTGGGCTTGGCCCCAGCACATTCCCCCAAGGCTGCCACTGTTTGCTTGAAGCCGGTGCCCTGAGCATCCGCAGGTTGAGGCAGGCCCTGCCCTCTCTGGCTCTGGGTCTGGCTCTGTGTCAGCCAGCCTAGTATTGCTCCTGTGATCCTCTGCATCTTGTCTAGACATTCTTCTAGACTCCAAGCCCCTCAGTGGCTGAGCAAGCAGAGCAGGTGGCCCCAGGATGGTGAGATTTGGGAGATGATCCCTGGATGCAGAACGCACCATCAGCCCGATATTGGCTTTGTGTGTGTCAGCTCCAGGTCTCCGTCTTCCCATTCTGTCCCCCTTTCCACCCGCCTCCCACCAGTTGCTTGGCTAAGCAGGCAGAATCTGGGGGCCGCAGATCTGGGTTTAAATCCTAGCTGTGCATTTGCTCACTGCAACTTGAGGCAAAACTTTCTCCCTCAGACCTTCAGTCTCCTCTTCTGTAAAGTGGGAACAATACCAGCCTCCTGGAGTTTTCATACAGATCAAACGAGAGACTACAGAAAGTATGTCATGCACTCCGTAAAGGGCAGTGAATGCTGGCTGTTCCTTTGCCATCAAAATTCCAGCAACCTACTTCAAGTTCTCCTACAAGGGCAGAGCTTAAGCTGCAGCCAGGCTCCCTCTGGTCTCCATGCATTCCCTTCTTCAGTCCTTCATTGATTGCTTCAGTGTCGGCGTAGTGAGCACCAGTCTGTGCCACTGGGTGCATGGGGCGGGGGGCTATGATCATCAAGGCACAGCCCCACCTTCAGAAGGCACTTGGAGTCCACTAGGAGAGATGGGAGATGGACAGACACGTGTCCATGATCAGAACCCAGTGTGGCAGGGGAGGGAGGTTAGAAGGCATTGTGGGAGTAACGGTTGGAGTAGTCAGCCCCAAGGGGTGGAGTGTCAGGAGGGCTTCCTAGAGGAGCTGCTGTTGGAGCTGAGTATTGGAGGACAAGTAGAAGCCCGCCATGAGGGGAGCAGGGAAGCGAGGCATGTATGACTGTAGGGAAAATGACACTTGGAGAGAGGGTCACAGGCAACACTGGCCTGGTTATATAGCAAGAGATGCACGCGGTAAGAGGCCTGGTGCCTGTGACCCACCCCGCTGTGCCTCAGTAGGCCATCCTGAGCTGAATCTGGACTGCTGGGACTTCGTGCGTTCTGTGTAGACTTCTCTCTCAGACATTGGCTGGGCACAGTAGCTCACACCTGTAATCCCAAAACTTTGTGGGGCTGAAGCGGGAGGATCACTTGAGCCCTGGAGTTCAAGACCAGCCTGGGCAATGAAGTGAGACCCCACCTCTACAAAAAAATTTAAAAATTAGCTGGGCAGGCCAGGCATGGTGGCTCACGCCTGTAATCCCAGCACTTTGGGAGACCGAGGTAGGTGGATCCTGAGGTAAGGAGTTCGAGACCAGCCTGGCCAACATGGTGAAACCCGTCTCTACTAAAAATACAAAAATTAGCCCGGCAAGGTCGTGAGTGCCTGTAATCCCAGCTACTTGGGGGGCCAAGTAATGAGAATCGCTTGAACCTGGGAGGTGGAGGTTGCAGTGAGCTGAGATTGTGCCATTGCACTCCTGCCTGGGCAACAAGAGCGAGACTTCATCTCAAAAAAAAAAAAAATCAAAAATTAGCTGGGCATGGTGGTGCATGACTGTAGTCCCAACTACATGAGAGGCTCAGGTGGGAGGATTGCTTCAGCCCAGGAGGTCAAGGCTGCAATGAGCTCTGATTGCACTGCTGCACTCCAGCCTAGGCAACAGAGCGAGATGCTATCTCAAAAAACAAAAAAACCACACACACGTAATGATGATCCGTCTGAGTGCAGAAATGGGGTTTTCTCTGGCTTCCCAGCATCATGTCTGTGGAGGGCCTCTGATGCTGACACATGGGTGGGGTAGGACTATGACCCAGACCTGGGGCAGGTTGGGGTCTCTGTATGTGCTGGGCCTGGGCCTGCACCAGCCCCGGACAGGCTTCTCAGGAGTGTCTGCTCACATCCACATTGACACCCACCCCTCGCCTCTCTGTCTCCTCACCCCAGAGCCTCTTAGTGGGTTCCAAGACCAAGTCCATCCCCTCTTACCTGCCTGAGCCCATGGGGAAGGTACAGGATGACATCGTGGGAGCCCAGAGACGGCAGCAGCTTGCTGGATACCCACATGTTTTTGAGAACTTCATCTTGAAAGCTCCTGAAAATGCATTGAATGTTGTGACTGTCCCTCTGTGCTGGCTTGTCATTGTGGTCCCTGTGACTTGGTTCCCACCCACCCCACCGTTTTTGAAAGAATGTATTATTTTTTCTCATCGATCTTTTCACAGACTAACCCTCTCACTATGTTTTGTCTGTTTGTTTCTCCTCCCTCCTCCTCTCTCTGGTTCCCTTCTCCTTCTCATAGACTGACCCTTGGTTATCGTTGCAGAATTATGGCAGCGGCATGAGACCACCACCCAACTCCCTCGGCCCCGCCATGCCCGGGATTAACATGTAAGGCAAAAACGACCCGGCCAGTGACTCGGCCCATGTCTCCCCCCTCTCTGCTGGCACCCTGGGAGACTCATGATAAGGGGTCATTGCTGGCACCTCTCTGGATCTCAGTCTCCTCCTCGGTAATATGAGGATATTGATGATCCTGGTGATGAGAGCTCAGCCTCATAGAGTGCCTCTGTGTGCTGGGCACAGTTCAGGCATGCTTCGTGCATCAGCTCGCCTCATCTTCATGATTACCCTATGCCGTGATTACTTTTTTTTTTTTTGAGACTGAGTCTCACTCTATTGCTGAGGCTGGAGTACAGTGGCACAGTCTTGGCCCACTGCAATCTCCCCTCCCGGGTTCAAGCGATTCTCCTGCCTCAGCCTCGTGAGGAGCTGGAAGTACAGGCTCCCGTCAACATGCCTGGCTAATTTTTGTATTTTTAGTTGAGACGGGGTTTCACCATGTTGGCCAGGGTGGTCTTGAACTCCTGACCTCAAATGGTCTGCCCGCCTCGGCCTCCCAAAGTGCTAGGTGTGAGCCACCGCGCCCAGCCTGACGCGGTCATTATTATACCCCCCTTACAGATGAGGTCACCAAGGCACAGAAAGGTGAAGTAACTTGCACAGGCTCACATACCTTTCAGTGGCAGGGTCAAGAGTTGAACCCCTGGACAGTTCAGCCACTGTTCTCTAGTGCATTTGTGATCTTTAACCCCGTTGTGAGAATGTGGATTCCCTTCCTAGGAAAATGCACATGGAGAGGGAATTTTACATATTTTATATCTAATTTTATATATTTTGTAAAGTTTACCTGTAATTTAAAGCAATTCATAGATTTCCATCCATGAAGTTACCCATTACTGCCCCGAGCCAGAAGGCTCTAAACCCCAGGGCTGTAGGAAGGACTTCCTGTTGGTTATTTCAGCCCTTTCCTTCTGCCCCTGCTGCCTCCACCCCTTGGAGTTTACAGCACCTTTTTCATTGTTCACATCTCTCTCTCCCTCTCCCAGGGGCCCGGGAGCTGGCAGACCCTGGCCCAATCCTAACAGTGCTAACTCAGTGAGTACCTAGGTCAGGTGGGGTGGTGTTTGTCAGGGGAGGGGTTCTGGGTGCAGGGGAGCTACTGTCCCTAGGTGTAGGTGTCACGGGGAAGGGGAGATGCAGCGGGACTCTCCTGATGCTTCTAGGGAGAAGGCCGTGTGGAGATGGAGGCCTGGCAGTAATGTGCAGGGGTCATCAAGGGCTCCACCCCTGCGCTGAAGGAGTAAGCTAAGAACCTGGGCTCAGAGAGTACTGTTCAGAGTGGAGGCCCCTACCTCCTCCCCAGCAGGGCTGGAAGGTGCGGGTAAGGGGCTCAGCACAGGCAGTGGAGTGAAGGCCAGAGGAATGTGGGGTAAAGCTGTTTACTGTCCTCTCAAACCGGAGGGCCTCCTATGTCTTCCCTGTGTCTGTGGCTCCCTCCCAGGACTGGGGAGTAAGAGACCAGGGTCTCAGGGTGAGTTCGATATAGCAGAGAGAACTGGGCTTCAGCCATGTCCCAGCCCTCCCAGGGGAACCAAGCAGGTGGCCAGCTCACTGGGTGGCGATGTCTTTCCTGTGAAGAGTGGGTCGTGTCCTCAGGGAGGTGTGGCAGCTGAGGGCACTCAGTGACTCTGACGCGGGGCTCCCTGACATCTTGTTTTTAGATTCCATACTCCTCCTCATCACCTGGTACCTATGTGGTAAGTGTGTGGGTTTAGGGCCTTGTGTTGTCTAGCCACGTGGGACTGAGTGTGCAAGAGAACTGCTCTGGGGTCCCTGTTTCTTTCCCTTTCACACATTCTTCTGAGCAGAGGTTCTAACCTGCTAGAACTTGCTGTCAATATTCAGTCATCTGTACGGACCCGAGGTGGCCCAGAAATCCCCAAACCAGACCTGGGGGTGGAATTGCCTTCTGGGGAGCTGACCAGTGGGCTCCCCGGCGTCCACTGCCGGCCTCTCCAGGGGGCATGCCTGTGAGCACATAATGCAGTCACACACACCCACAGGGGCCTCTTGGTCTGAAGAAAGGTACGGGGGACATCCAAGTCCCCTTCTCAAGCTTAAGTACTTTGTCCCTGAGTGAGCGCTGGGGGTGTAGCAAGATGAACAGCGGCTGGGCCCGGGGTGAGCAGTTGCTGCTGACCAGGGAGGGAGGATGCTGGCCCCTCCCCACGTTCATCACCACTATGGGCGTCTGATGTCAGTTTTTCTCATCTTCAGGGACCCCCTGGTGGTGGCGGTCCTCCAGGAACACCCATTATGCCCAGTCCCGCAGGTAAGAGCGCTTGAGGGGAAAGCGGAGGGTCTGGTGGTGGGGGCAGGGCATGTTGCCAGAGAGTCCTGGAGGGAGGGCAGTGTTGCAGAGCCAAAGCTTACCAGCCACTCCTTCCTGAGCTGCACATCTTCCACTGGGCATTTAGGGGGCAGGAGTCCCTTGATGACACTAACCTACTCCTCTGATGCTGCTGCATAAAGGACAGGGCTGAGCAGAGCAGTCCAGGAACGGGTTCTCATTGTCCTTGAACCCCTCTTGTTGGGAAGAACCCTGTTCGGGGTGGGCATTTCCCCAGATGACTTAAAAAGGGGCTTTGGAGTTCTGACATCCTGGGACCAGGATTCTGAGGCATGCTACCTTTCGAGTTTCCATAGCTCCTGGCTTCTGGTCCTCTATATAGGAGATCCCTTCTCCTATATAGAGACAACACAAGGCCCCAAACCCACACACTTACCACGTAGGTACCAGGTGATGAGGTGATGAGGAGGAGTATGGAAAAAAAAAAGATCCTTTTTGCTTTTTTGAGGCGGAGTCTTGCTCTGTCACCCAGGCTGGAGTGCAATGGCGTAATCTCGGCTCACTGCAACCTCCACCTCCCGGGCTCAAGCAATTCTCCTATCTCAGCCTCCTGAGTAGCTGGGATTACAGACATGCACCACCATGCCCAGCTAATTTTTGTATTTTTAGTAGAGATGGGGTTTCACCATGTTACCCAGACTGGCCTTGAACTCCTGACCTCAGGTGATCCACCCGCCTCAGCCTCCCAAAGTCCTGGGATTACAGGCGTGAGCCACCGCACCCGGTCCTCCCTGTTTCTTTAAACAAAAGAGGGCATGCGTGCACACACGTGGGCATATGCGCACACACGCGCGCACGCACACACACACACACACACACACAGCATCACAGTTATGTTTCTTTCCCAGCTAAGAATAGCGTACCAGCCAGCTAGAAGCAATTCAACATACGATCCTTACCCACCCCAAAAATAAAAAGTGAGAGGTAGCTGGATTTCTGCCCAAGAATTACGGTGCCTGCTCCTGATAGAAACGTTTTAGCTGGAGACTTTTTTGGCTAATTGGGGAAATGGAGGGGACTCTCCCCCGCCCCCTCCCCTCCTCGGCTCCCCGTAGCAGGGAAGCTGCTCGGCTGCAGGGGTGGAGCTGGCCGCAGCCGGGATCCTGGGCTCCCGCTCCGGCTGTCTCTTTCTGCTGCTGCATTTTGATGAGCTGCATGACCTACATTCCGACTGGGCCACATGCACCCACTCCATATGTGAATGCGTCTCCAGCCCCATCCCTGCCTCTCCCTCCTGCCCCATCAGCCTGGCAGGGTGGCCTCTGGGTAATTTGCCACATTTCCCTTTCCCTGATTTGATTAAAACCACTTTGTAGGGGGGTGGGGGGAGAGCACAGGTCGTGGTTCTGCTGCCCCCATGTTGTCCCAGGCAGTGTCTGGGGGCCAGATTTGGTGTAGGGTGGGGAGACAAGAGTTTGAACCTGTAATCCTCCTGTGCCGTGTCCACACTGCTGGGGTTGAGTGGTTTTCACAGTTGAATTTTCTGTGATTAAAAACTTTGTGAATCTTCATTAAATACAAATTAGCCAGAAAATGGTGGTACTTAGAGGAAATTTTAGGTGATAAAATACAAAGGAATGAGTTCAAGTGCCATGAGTTTGTTTTAATTAAGAAACGAATTAATCACCCCGACTTGTGGGTTTCCACTGTTCTACAGATTCAACAAATTCCAGTGACAACATCTACACAATGATTAATCCGGTGCCGCCTGGAGGCAGCCGGTCCAACGTAAGTCTGCTTTCTAATAATTTACATATCAGACACCATAACAAATCATAATTAACTTCATCAGCTGAGGGGAAAGCAAGTTTAATTGATTTCAGCCATTTGTTACCAAAGATGAATAAAATAAACCGTCAGAAAAGTGATTAACTCTTGGGCAACTCAGTTCCCATTTCATAGGCAGCAGGGGATGGGAGAGGAAGGGGTGGGATGATACCCACCCTCTGGTTAGAGCTAGGGCGCGGGCTGTGCTGCTGGGACTTGCCACCTCCTGCCGTGCCGGTGGGGGAAGGGCCAGACTGCAGGTGGGGTCTGGCCTGGTCTCTGCCCAGCTGAGTGGCTATGCTGGCCTGGGCAGTCCTCCTCCTCCTGGGCCTGTTCCTGGGGCTGCGGAGCTGAGGGTGGAGCCAGCAGCAAAGGGACACGGCTCGCTGGGGGACCTGCCTGCCTGTGCTGCTGCCAGGAGCTCTGGAACTCCAATACCTGGCAGCTTCTTTGCCTCAGAGTTGCAGCCCTTGGGTGATGTTGCAGCTCACATTTCCCCATTTCTGATTCCTTCTTGCCCCACTTCCTCCTGTGTCTCCTGCACCCACTGGGTGGGACTTGGTTAGTCAGCTGCAGCCTGTCTCCTCACCCAGCAGGAGTTCCCTGAGGACAGGGCCTGATCTGCTTCCCCTCCACAGGCAACCCTTCCATTCCAATTCCTTCCCTTCCTCCTCCGTGCAGGCCTCAGGTGAACCTGTTCAGCCTTGTCCCTCCAGGAGCTCAGGGTCTGGAAAGAAGGTCTATGGACTGTAGAGCCAGAGAGTGGGCCTGGGGCCTCAAATTGCGAGGCTTTGGCCTGGTTGAGGGGGTGGGGACTTTTGGGGCACTCTGGTTTTGTTGGCTCTGTTCCTGAGGTGACACCCGGATCACCCCACGTGTTAAACCTCAAACGTGGGCTGCCCCGTGCTGGATATTGCCTACATTTTCTCTCCCAGCAGCCCTCTGAGGGAGGGTCTCTGGCCTGCCGCCTTCGTCAGGGTCCTCACTGGTGTGACCAAGCATCTGGCTTTTAACACTAAAAGCCATACATCCTGAGGAATCCCAGGACACAAAAAGTCATGGGTTTTGTCAGTGATGCAGAAGGTTGGGTGGAAAGTATAAAACCCACACAGAGGGATGACAACACTGTTTGTAGCATCGGATGGAAATGGCGTAGACGATCTGCCTCGAGTGGTCACTGTCGCCATGTTTCCTGACGTGGATGCTGGCATCAGGACTTGTGATTCACCATGGATCACATCACTCAGGCTGCAACTCCATGCACTGCAGTCATGCACGTTGACAGCACCCGCCTAGGAGTCTGCTGCAGATTCAGTGTTGGGCTTTTTGTCTAGACGGTGCTGGTTTCAGTCTTGACATCGTGAATGTTGTGACCGTATTTCCTAAGAGTTCAGATGATGAAAACGAGAACGGTGACAATGCCAGCACCAGCGTGACCCAGACATCACTGGGAAATAAGTTTAAATGACCATGTGACTTTAATGACAGATGCAAGGACACAACTGGATTAGGGAGGAAAGAATCCAAACAGAATGTACTGCGCGGTGTGCAGAAAAGAATGTGGGATTGAGCTTGTGGAGAAGGGGAGGTGGAGGCGCATTGGACATTGAGTCTCAAGTCTGAGGCATATCTTTCTAAATCAAGATTATTTTGACCTCCAAAGAGACAGCAGTTCTCAGTCAAAATCAGCGGTTGCGGAATTAGCTTGGGCATGCTCCTTGAATGGGCACCATTATCATCTTGTTCCCTTGATTGCACCACAAACCAAGGTTACATTTCCTGATTTGGAGGCTACAAACTAAAAGTCCTGTGTGTGAACCAAAGGGAAGAGGGACTTTCGGTAACAGATGCATTGCCTCTTTACAGTAGTGCTGACCCTGTCTGATCCTTCCAACAGTCATGCTTCCGAGAGCATTAAAGGTGTGCCTCGAGTCACGGCAACAGGTTTCCACTAGCTCTTAGGTATGTTGATTTGAAAACTGGAGTTTCAAATCATCTCGATTTCTGTGAAGATCTTAGTGAAGCCACTGAAGACGTAAGAGATTGTTGTTCTCTTGTCCAAATACAACCTAGACTTTGCTCATTTATCTACATATTTGGCAGACAGTACACAGTTAATTTGAGCAAATTTCATTTAGTCCATAAGCTTCTTACCAATGAAAATGAAAACATCTTACCTGCTAAATGTTCACACCTTGTGCCCAACGCTGTCACAAAGGGGTGTAATTTGCTTACCTGTGATACCAGCTTTCATAATGAAAGTTTTGGGTCACTTTTCAATTTCCTCAAAACATGCTGAAGCACTTAATGAGATCTTTGACTTTACAGACAGGAGAATGCCTCAGACATTTCCACAAGATGACTATCATTGCTGGCCATAGAAAAGATGTTAAAATGTTGGCTTGCCGTGGAAACTGCTATTTTTTAAAGTGCGAGACAAGAAGGATGTCCTTCTCTAATTTGGAAATGCATTGAGATGAGAATGGAAAAAGGAATTACAATAAAATAGAGGCCAGGCACGGTGGCTCATGCCTGTAATCTGAATACTTTGGGAGGCCAAGGTGGGAGGATCACTTAAAGCCACGAATTCAAGACCAACGTGGATAACAAAGCGACACATCCTCACCATCTCAGCAACAAAAAATAAAAAATAAAAAATAAATACATAGGCTGGGTACGGTGGCTCACACCTGTAATCCCAGGACTTTAGGAGGCCGAGGTGATCAGATCACTTGGGGTTCGTCAGGAGTTCAAGACCAGCCTGGCCAACATAGTAACACCATGTCTACTAAAAATACAAAAATTAGCTAGGTGTGGTAGTACATGTCTGTAGTACTAGACACTCGGGAGGCTGAGGCAGGAGAATCGCTTGAGCCCGGGAGGTGGAGGTTGCAGTGAGCCAAGATCACGCCACTGCACTCCAGCCTGGGTGACAGAGTGAGACTCGGTTTCAAAAAGAAAAAACATAAATACATAAAAAATAAAATAGAAATGTATATACTGTTTCGTCAGTACTGTCTGATGCTCCTTGAGAAGCCCCAAGGAGCCTAGATAGGGCTAGCCAGCCACACTTGGATCGTTGGGTATCACGGGGAGGGGGCCACAAAAACTCATGCAGCAGAAATAAGGACCCATTTAATGCTTGAGAACTCAAAAAATGTCACCAGAAAAGGCAGTCAAGTTAAACAGGACTTTCTCAATTTCTTCATTAAGACTGTAACATATTTGGAATCCAGCTTGGGTTTTGCAACTTCAGATTACCTCTGTGCTTTAAAATTAGTTTTTATAATTTAGAACATCATCTAGTGTGCTTTGGAGTGTTAAAAAATGATGAATATCTGGCCAGGCATGGTGGCTCACGCCTGTAATCCCAGCACTTTGGGAGACCGAGGTGAGAGGATCACTTGAGGTCAGGAGTTCCAGCTTGACCAACATGGTGTAACCCCGTCTCTACTAAAAATATGAAAATTAGCCAGGCGTGGTAGCTGGTGCCTGTAATCCCAGCTACTCGGGAGGCTGAGGCAGGAGAATCGCTTGAACCCGGGAGGTGGAGGTTGCAGTGAGTGAGCTGAGATTGCAACGCTGCACTCCAGCCTGGGTGACAGAGTGAGACTCCGTCTTGGGGGGGAAAAAAAAATTAGCAGGCATGGTGGCACACGCCTGTAGTCCCAGCTACTCAGGAGGCTGAGTCAGGAGAATCGCTTGAACCTGGGAGGTGGAGGTTGTAGTGAGCAGAGATTGTGCCATTGCACTCCAGCCTGGGCAGCAGAGCGAGACTCTGTCTCAAAAAAAAAAAAAAAAAAAAATGGTGGGCATCTTAGACAGGGATAGCCCATCTGATGAATTACAGATGTAAAGGCCTGATTGACAAGCAGCTGGTCCACCAAAGCCAGCCCCTGGACAAAAATGGATGGGCATCTTTGGAGAGCTGGACGTGAATTCCTACAAGTCCCAAAACCTGTGCTTATAAGTAAAACCCAAAGTACTTTGTGTGCAAGGGTTGTGTGGAGAGGATATTTAGTTTGGTGTTATCGTGTTAGGTTGACACCAGGAGTCAGTGTAACATGGGCTTTGAATAAACAGAGTGACAAGTCAAATGGGTTTTAAGTTTGACTTTATTCAGTTTTACCAGTGCATTTAAAAGAAAGATGTTCTAAGCTGGGTGCAGTGGTGTATGCCTGTAGTCAGCTACGTGGGAGGCTGAAGCAAGAGGATTGTTTGAGCCTAGGAATTGAAGGCTGCAGTGAGCCATGATCATGCCACTGCACTCCAGCCTGGATGACAGAGCCAGACTCCATCTTTTTTTTTTTTTAAAAAGATGTCCTAAAGGCTATAAAGGCTTTAGGCAATTCAGAGACCAATGGGAAAGGAAGCAGAGCAGAATGTTCTAATGTATCCTGGGGCAGAAAGAAACATTTTTTATTTAAATATTAGTAATGTTCGTTTCATTAATCCTATTGTGTTTATGTTTGTTTGTTTATTTAGAGATAGGGTCTCTGTCACAGTCATGACTCACTGCAGCTTCAGCATCTGGGGCTCAAGGGATCCCTCCCACCACAGCCTCCTGAGTAGCTGGGACTACAGGCACGTGCCATCACACCCAGCTAATTTTATTTGTTGTTGTAGAGATGAAGTCTCACTATGTTGCCCCTAATTTGTTGTTGTAGAGATGAGGTCTCACTATGTTGCCCAGGATGTTCTTGAACTGCTGGGCTCAGGAGATCCTCCTGCCTCAGCCTCCCAAAGGGATTACAGGTGTGAGCCACCACGCTTGGCTTATGTTTTATTTTTTAAAAACATAAATAATAAGCCAGGTGCAGTGGCTCGAGCCTGTAGTCCCAGCTACTCAGGAGGCTGAGGCAGTGGATGGATCACTTGAGCGTACTCTAGCTTGGGTGACAGAGCAAGTCCTCATCTCTAAAAAATAAAATAATTAATGTAACATAGCCTGTCAAATTTAAGTATTCCAATAAAAAGTTATTTCTCTATCAGAGGACAGAAACGTTATAAAAATATTAATATTTTTTTCTCATACATATCATTTAACTAGTCCACCTTCTAATTGCTACTAATTGCTGCTGTTAACTAGTTCCTATTGTTGTTTACATAATAGCATTAATATAATGGAAAAGTAGATAATAACAGAATAAATGATACTGAGACAACTGAATATCCACATGTGGACAAATGAGATTGAACTGTGTCTTTACAGCAGCACACAAAAGTTAAAGTAGATTATAGGGGGCCGGGCACGGTGGCTCACACCTATAATCCTAGCACTTTGGGAGGCTGAAACAGGTGGATCATTTGAGGTCAGGAGCTCGAGACCAGCTTGGCCAACGTGGGAAACCCCGTCTCTACTAAAAATACAAAGTTAGCCGGGTATGGTGGCGTGTGCCTGTAGTCCCAGCTACTCGGGAGGCTGACGCATGAGAATTGCTTGAACGCAGGAGGCGGAGGTTGCAGTGAGCCAAGATCACGCCACTGCACTCCAGCCTGGCTGACAGAGTGAGACCCCATCTCAAAAATAAATTAAAAAATAATAAAAAATAAAAGTAGACCATAGATCTCAATGTTAGAGCTAAAACTCCAAAACACTTGAAGTAAACACAGGAGTAAATCTTCACGACCTGAGTTAAGCGAAGCCTTCTTAGACGCAAGCCCAAAAGCACAAGTAGCAAAAGAAAAAAGTAGACAAACTGGACTTCATAGGAGATGAAGATTTGTGCTTCAGAGGTGTCAAGGAAGTAAAAAGACAAACCACAGAATGGAGAAAATATTGGCAAATCAGGTATCTGATAAGGGACTTGAATTCAAAATACGTAACTCTGAGAAAAACTCAGTAACAACCTAATTTAAAAATGGACACGGGTATAAATGAACATTTCTCCAAAAATTACAAATAGCTAGTAAGTACATGAGAGGATGCTCAGCATCGTTAGTCATTAGGAAATGCAAATCAAAACCACAGTGAGATAGCACTTCACACCCACTAGGACGACTGTAGTAAAAAAGACAGATAATGACTGGTATTGGCGAGGGCGTGGAAGCAGTGGAACTCTCAGAGCTGCTGGTGGGAATGTAAAATGGCATAGCTGCTTTGTTAAACAGCTTCACGTTTCCTTGAAAGATCAGACAGCCTAGTGATGTCCACTGTGATATGAGAATTGGGTTACCCTATGACCCAGCAGTTCTCCTAGGGATCTGCCCAAGAGAAATGAAAACGTATGTCCACACGGCAGCTGGTACATCAGTGTCATTAGTGTCAGAATAGCCAAACAGTGAAAACAACCTGAACGTTCCCTCCGCTGATGAATGGATCAATGAAATGTGGTATATCCATACGATGGACTACTTTTTGTTCATAGGAAAGAATCAAGTACTGATTGATGTGACAACACTGATGAACCTTGAAAACATGCTAAGTGAAAGAAACCAGCTACAAAAGCTCACATGATTCTGTGTATATGACATGTCCAGGATAGGCAAATCCGTGGAGATGGAAAGTAGATTAGTGTTTGCCTGGGGCCGGGGATTGGAGGGGGATGGAAATGACTGCAGTCGGGTACAGGATTTCTTTCTGAGGTTATGGAAACGTTCAAAATTGGTTGTGGTGATGGTTGCACAACCCTGTAAATATACTGAAAACCACTGAATTTTACACTTTACATGGATCAGTTGTATGCCATGTGAATTATATCTCAATAAAACTGTTAAGATAATACACAGAAAGTATACAATAATACGTCATTTTGAAGAACTACCAGTTTCTTAATACATTGATGTTAATGACATATTCATGTTATGGTAATGATATACATATGCATAATTCTGTATTATCATGTTTGGGGATTTTTGGGGTCTGGCATGGCTGTGTCCTGGGTTGACTCCCTAGAAAGCTGGTTACTTTCATCCTCCCATCACTTGGGTTAATAAGCATGAAATTTGTTGCTAGATGGCAAAGTGTTCCCAAAAGCCTGTGAGCTGCTTTGGTGGGGGATCCACTGGAGAGGGAAGGATGCGCCGCCCTTCCCCCAGTCTGGGTAGGCACAGGGAAGCAGCTCATACCCTAGCTGTGCCTCTGCAGCCTGGTCACAGCCTTACCCCTTGCACCCCTGCTCATGTGGGACCCCTGCCTAGAGTGACTTCCGCGATGGGCTCTGCCTGCCCAGATTTTACCCCTCAATTTTGTCGATGCTCTCCTCCTCTTCCAGGCAGCCAGTTCTGATTTCTGTGCCTTGCTCTGAAGCCGCAGCTGTACTTTGCAGCTGTCTTTGGAAGTCAGCATCTCTGTCCTCCTGTGGGGCAGTTGGGTATCCATGAGCTGCTCCTCTGGGCTGGGGCTCAGGTGTGACTCAGCTTTGCGTCTGCGGTGCCCAATCCCGGCCAGGTGCCAAAACAGTCCTCCATTCCACCACCTCCACTCCCTTCCCACTAGATGCAGATCCAGTCTGCATCACAGGGCCCTGGCGCTCCAGGCTGGGCTCAGCCACCCCTCCCCAGCCCTGTGACTCGTGGCTGTGGGATGTGACCTTTCTGGCCTTCCTTTCCGAGATGGGTTTGATAGTTCCGGATAGGCCTGCGGGTGGGTAGAATCGACTCTTATCTCTGAGTCCCCATCTGCCACACCATCAGTTCTGCATGGGAGCCTCATTGGTGACCTCCCACCACCACCCCACAGTCCCAGGATGCCATGCAGTCCCTCCTAGGCCAGTGTCCTAGCTCCCTCTTCCCCCCCACTCATCAAACTCCACCTCTTCTTACTGCCCAGCCCTAGGAAACATTCATTTCTAACTTCTTCCTTTTGTTAGCTTGGAGAGGGCCAGCACGATGGCTCCAGGCCTGCTGCCAGGTTCCAGTCCCAGCTCCTCCACTTCCAGCCTCTGGGACCTCAAGCAAAGTGTTTGCTCTCAGTGCTTGTTTCCTCACCCGTGAAGTGGGGATGGGAAGCACTGGTGTTTTGGTCCCTGGCCTGACACGGTGGGAGAGCTGTCCACATGTATCTCTGTCTAGGGAACCACACCCTCCACACGGGGGATGGAGGGGGCCCTGTGGTGGGATCTGAGAGGCTCAGATTGAAAGCTGCCTCTGCGTGGAGCTGGGTGGCAGCAGGCCAGTCCCTCTCCCTCACTTGGGTCATTGGAATGAGCACCTCTGCCTTGCAGCTCGGAGGGCTGAGGTGAGGAACCTGGCCCAGCTGCCAGGCAGGACATGTCTGAGTGTGAGCAGAGCCTGCTGGAGCAGGGGTTCCTCAGGGCCAGGACTCTGGCATGGCTGTAGCTCCCTGCTTGTGAGGGGTGCAGAGGGCCTGGGCCCGCTGAGTTGCCATGCCCTGTGCTTCTTCCCCAGTTCCCGATGGGTCCCGGCTCGGACGGTCCGATGGGCGGCATGGGCGGCATGGAGCCACACCACATGAATGGATCGTTAGGTGAGTGGCCCCTGCCCTCACCATGCCCCACCCTGCCGAGGCAACCAGCTGTGTGCCTCAGCTCCTGGCTCAGCTGGGCTTGGTACACAGCCCTGGCCTGCCTTGGCTGGGCACACAGGAAGATCCTGAGAGGGATGCCACACAAAGTCCTCCGCACAGTGTGGGACTGGGATGGAAGGGCTTACAGGCCCGAGGAGCCCAGGGATGAGGGGGGACCCCTCTGTGGAAGAGCAAGCAAGAAACTGAATTGGATTATTTTTTCTTTCCAGGGTCAGGCGACATAGACGGACTTCCAAAAGTGAGTGTGCACTCGGTCTGCCTGGTGGCGCCCCATCTGTGTGGGCAGGTTGTTGGGGACACAGGCGCTCACCTCCTCTCCTCTTTCTACAGAATTCTCCTAACAACATAAGTGGCATTAGCAATCCTCCAGGCACCCCTCGAGATGACGGCGAGCTAGGAGGGAACTTCCTCCACTCCTTTCAGAACGACAATGTAAGCCTCGCCCCCTGCCCGCTGCTCTTGTCCCCACAGCCTGGACTCTTACCTAACAAGTTGCGAGCTACAGAGCCGGGCCGCAGCCTGCCAGCTGAGCTGGTGACCATGTTATGGGCTTTCCACCTCAGTTATTTTTTTAGCAGAAGTGTGCAGCCTTGACGCTGCCCCGAGACTGCCTGCTGGTGGGGCCTTCTGGAGGCAGCTCGGTGCAGGCTGGATGCCTCTGGCACTACTTAAGCTGATGTGGCCGGGAGAGCCCTGGGCTGAGGGAGTTGGAGCAGTATTGCCCCACAGGTCCATTTCCATCTGTCCAGTGGGAAAAGGTTCATGCAGCCCGTGATTTTCAGGTCTGTCAACACAGAGCGGGGTTGGCTGTCTGCTTTTCTGTAGTGGGCTTCTGTGTGCATTCTCATTTGAAGAAACAGTGTTATGATTAAGCAGTTTTCAAGAACCCGAGGCTGCCAACCCAGGCAACACGGCGAAACCTCATCTCTACACAAAAATACAAAAATTAGCCGGGTGTAGTGTCGCATGCCTGTAGTCCCAGCTACTTAGGCTAAGGCGGGAGAATTGCTTGAGCCCAGGAGGTTGAGGCTGCTGTGAGCCTTGATCGCACCACTGCCTGAGTGACAGAGTGAGACCCTGTCTCAAAAACAAAAACAGAAAGAATCCCAGACTGGCCCCACCCCAGGGCACCCTGGCTGTGCTCTGGCTCGTCAAAGCCCAGTTCCCTGCAGTCTGGAGGTCTGCACTGGGCAAGGGGCAGGGGCTGTGACTGCCTTTGGAGAGAAGAGGTTGACTCAGACAAGGGCAGGAGCAGGGGAGGCACCGTCAGCTGCCATAGTTCCCAACAGAAGGTCAGGCTGGCACTGAGAAGTGGCTCTTAGCTCCCACCTCCTGACCCTTACCCTGCCTTGCCGGCCCCCTGCGCACTCCATGCCACCATGCACCCCTCAGCCCAACCACAGCCCCAAATGAGCCCTGCTCAGTTCTGTGCAGTCAAACCAGGCTCTTGGCACCTCGGTGTGTCAGCGGCCTCCCCACAATCCTCACCCCCTCCTTCTCTGCTTCTCCCTTCCAGTATTCTCCAAGCATGACGATGAGTGTGTGATCCCCCCTTCTCCGAGACGCTGAGAGAGCGGGCATTGCAGGCGGGAAGATGCCAGAAATTATGCAAGAAGTGAGGTGTCATTATCCAGGAGCTGGTGGGGAGGGCATCTCCCTGCTCCCCTCAACCCCCTCCCACCCCATCCACGCCCCCCACCTTTCCCAATTTTAGTTTCATGCAATAAAAAGGCCGAACTTTTTATTCCATAAAACATGAAGGACAAAACTCAAAAATGTATTTCAAGTCAGTGACCAGAAAAATCGCACCCCTTGCCCTTTCCCCAAAGGACCTTTTCCGTACACGACACTTTTTTGTTTTTTGTTTGGGGTTTTACCGTTGGGATTTTTTTATTTGTTTTCAGGGGGGGTTTTTTGGGGAAAATTTTTTTAAATGGAAGCTTCTAGCAAGCCCCCCACCCCAATCAACCTCTATGCTTTCTTCTTAAAAAAAAAAAAAAAAAAAAAAAAGGAAAACCAGAAGCCCTGCTGTCTGTCTGTCCCCAAGCCCTTCCACCAGAAAAGCTAGTCTAGGTGTGAGAGCCCACATTGTCTGTAGCCATCAAAAATAATAATAATAAACTGGACAGTTTACAATCGGTGGTTTCTTTCAAAAGGCCTTTTTTGGAAAGAAGAAAAGGCAGTCACCGTTTTCCACTTGGGGTTTTGGTTTGTGCAACAGGCAGGGGAGGAGCGGGAACGCGTTTGTTCTAGCTTGATTTCTACGGCAACGGCAGCGGCACGCTTGGACCTCAGAACCCAGCACCCTCATCCTGTGGCCAGAGGGGCCGGACCACCGGCCCCTTTCAGGATTCCACCACAGCCCAGCCCGTCGCCGTGACCCGGTGGCATGCACTGTTCCCAGGATGCCTTCCTCCTCCTCTCCTGGACCTCCCAGCCCCTCCTCCGCCCCCACCCCAGTCTTCCCAGTGAGAATCCTGCCAGCTGGGTGGTGGCCTGACGCAGAGTAGGAGAGGCTGCCACTGACAGGATGGCTATGACCTGGGACATGGAAACAGTGACCTCCACGTTCTGGTCCCGAGATCCTCGCATCAGCGTCATCATGTGCACCGGCTGGGGGGCTCGAGTTCCGGTTTTCTTTTTCTCTTTATTCGTCCTTTCTCAAAGATGGGATACTGACCAGAATTGCTCTGTATGTGCTTGGGACTGGATGGAAAGACTTTGGAGCAGCTGTGGGGGGTGGGGGGACACCGACAACCAAACAGACGTGCTGTCTCCGGTCCTGTTTTTATTTTCAAAAACCAACAAGCCCGACGGTGGAGCCTGTCCCCTCCCGGGAGGGTGCTCATGGCCCCGCTCACCTCATCACCCCACAGAAACCTTTGTGTCTTGCCCTGGAAGACACCCGAATTCTTTGTACATTGACATGCCCTTCTCCTTCCTCCCTCCCCTGTAGCTGGTCTTTGTTTTACTCCCTCCCTTTCTGATCCATGTATATCATATTATGTGAGATATCATCTGCCTGAAAAAAGACTTTGTGCGGATTATTGGGAACATTGTAGCTGTTTCTGTGTTTTTTCTTACCTTGTAGTCTGGTTCTGAATTAAGAGAGGAAAAAAAAAAGTAATTATGATACATTGTAGTTTGTGTACGATATATGTTGATAACGTTTTATTAAAGGGACATCTTTTTTCCGCAGCCCTTCCTGACATGTTTGGGGAACGTGGGTTGGAGTTTATTACACTGATTACAAAATGCAAGGTGACTTGTTGGGCACAGTTTTTGTTCCTGGTGCATAACAAGATGTTTTGTGTTTGAGGCGTCTGCCTTCTTTTCCTGGGCCTGCGAGTTCTGTGTTCTTGTGGAGTCGCGATGGCCTCGGCGGAAGGTGGGTTGGGAGGGAGGGAGGTATCCGTCTTACCTTAAATATTTGGGGGCCTTCTAAAAGCCATTTACCATTTCTTGTCTTGCAAACACATTTTGGTTTGCTGGAATGTTGTTTATTTTTCTGGAAGCAGGAAAAGGTTCCTGGTGCCCTCTGTTGTCTATGAGGAGTCGTTATCAGCCAGGAGAACCACAGCCACTCCCTGCTTTCTCCCCTCAGGTGGGACTGGCTTCACCCCAGGCCCCCAACCTCAAGTGCCTGCTGTTTGCGACTGGGAGGCACAGGGAGGTTGATACATATATATATATTTTTTTTCCTAAGGCTCCAAGGCACTGGGAGCCCTTGAAGGGTTTTGAGAGTAGTGCAGTCTACTTAGTAAATTTTGGAAAGTGTATGCTGGTGGCATCCTGGGAGATGAATCAGGTGGGGCTGGCAGGATATGGAGAGAGCCATTCCCAGATGACATTTAGGCAAGAAATGCTGAGGGCTAGGGTGAGGTAAGCCGCTATGGATGCTGACTTGCACGACTAGAAAGAACTTTCTTCTTCCCTGGAGCTCTGGGGACCTCATTCTAGGTTTGCAGCAGGAGTAGATGCCGGGGTGGGTGGGAGACAGAGGGTCCAAGCAAAGGGTAGGCTTAGCCCATGTTTATAAGGCCCTTAGGGGACCAGATAGCAAATTCCCAGGTTTAAATCTTGCCTTTGCTGCAACTTGCTGTGTGGCCGTGGGCAAATTAGTTGATATTTCTGTTCTCAGTTCTCTCATCTGCAAAATGGGGGCTGACGGGCTGGCTGCCTCATGGGCTGTGAGGAGGTTAGCACCGTGAAGTGCTCAGAACAGTGCCGTGCACGGACTAAGAGCAGCATGTGTTCGCTGCAAGTGATGATGTTACTCATATGTGGGGAAAGTCCAAATGGGTGTGTTGGGGAGTAGCTGGGAGGATCTAGAAGATTCCATCTGGTCCTTCCCTCTTCACCTTGGAACAAGGTTTCCTGGGCTTTTGCTCAGCACGGACACCTTTGAACTACTGGAAAAGCATCTCCATTGGAGAGATGAAGAGACTGAGGCTGTGACTAACCTGTATCAATGGTGCTGACCCAGGGCTGGGGAAAGGAGGTTGGGAGGATGGGATATTCATCTAATACCTGTGCTCCTTGGAGCAGGAGTCAGGCACAGACAAGAGCCATGGGATTGGGGTGCCTAGCTGGAGGAAGGCAGGTCACGGGGCCCAGCCTGGGGGGAGCGCCTGCTGTGTGCTGTGCTACCCCTCAGCCTGGGGCCCCTCAGCAGCCCTGCAGTTGCCGTCATAACACAAATGGCCAGGGTGCAGGTTAGTTTGGCCTTCCTCGGGGGCAGCTATCTAAGCAAAGAACTGGTTCTTGTTCACTAAGCATTTTCATCACTGCCTGGGGCCAGACCAGAGCTCTACATGAGCCAGTGGAAAGATACTGAAATGAGCAGGAGAAAAGGAAGCGTCATGCCAGTTCTTTCACAAAAAAGGGCTTCAGGCCATCACTGAGAGGTGCCGGAGTCGGGGGCCAGACCACAGCTTTCCTGCTGGAGTCATCGCTGTCTGCAGGCACTCGATTCTAGGGGTTGGCCAGCCTAGGGGGCCAGAGCTAGGACCAGGCCTGAGACAGCGGACCCCTCACCTGCCTCCCTGCTGGGCATCCCCACTGCCCCCTACCCCAGAGCCAGGAAAGAAGAAACTTAAGGCAAGTCACTGACATCAACAGCAGCACAGCCACTAAGGCGCTAGGCCAGAGCAGGGCTCCAGCTGGGGGTAAGGCTGCTCAGGCTGGCTCCCTAGTGACCTGAGAAATCCCCTGCCCCAGTCTCTGCTGTCCCATGAAGTGGTGCACCAGCTGTGTTCCCAAATTCCACAGACTCCAGGAGACTGAGCCCAGAACATGCCCGGGGTGCTCCAGAGGGCTCTGGCCCTGAACTGAGGGGAGCTGGGCCTCTTGGAGTTAAGGCCATGGGGCTCCCCTGGACTTGGGCAGAGTGGCTGGGCAGGGTGGGGTTACAGGCAGATGAGCCTTGCTCTGCCCAGCCCTGGGCTCACTGGGTATAAGCACTGGGGGCTTGGAGTTGGGGCTGGGGTTTGGAAATAAAAGACCAACGAGGGTGGGTGCTGGAAGACAGAGGTTCTGTTCTATCCTCCTCTCTATTCCCAGGGCGCCTGCGGAGCCACAGAACCTGGCATCTGGTTTCTGGAATTCAGCCATGCCCTTGATTTCCTGCCTCCATGTCAGCCCTCCAATGCCACAAAGACCATCTCACTTTTGAGCCTCCGTAGACTTCTTTCTTTCCATCCATCCACTCATGTGTTTGCTGAGCACCCCTTTTATGCCAGGGGTGGTTCTGGCACTAGGGATACAGTAGTGAACAGATACGGAAGGACGGAGATGCCGTTTGTGGAGGTGGGGCAGGCTGCGGGAAGAGCTCTGTTCTGGTGAGTTAAATTTGAGATGCTGATTTGATATCCAGTAAAGACATCAAGTAGGCAGGTCTGAACTAGAGGCATACCGTGGGAGTTGTTGCCATTTAGAGGGTCTTTAAAGTCATAAGACTGGCTGAAATCATCTAGGGAATGAATGGAGAAGAGGCTGAAGGACTGGGCCCTGAGATCTGGGGAATAGGAGCGACCCACAAAGGCGGCAGAGCAGTGAGAAGAAGACCAGGAGAGCGAGAAGAGCGAGATGCCCTGGTGACCATGAGAAGAAAAGGGGTGCAGAGAGGAGAGGGCTTCTTGCTAGTGGGGAACCCAGGTGGCTACGCCCACTGTGACTCTGGGACCAAGTCCACGCTCCTCACAGCTTCCAGGCAGCTGCAGGGCATGGAAGGGCCATGCGCACTCCTGCTTTTCCTTGTCCCTCAGCACTTCACCTCCAACTTTGCGGTACTCTGTGGATGTCTGCCCAGCCAGGGCCTTTGTTCCTGCCAGCCCCTCCTCGTTCCCACTTGCCCTTTGGAACCTAGCTCAGATGGCCCCTCCTCCTGGAAGCCTTCTGGGCCGGGATAGCGCTCTCCCTGGGTCCCCACAGCCTGGTTCAGTGTATGCCTCCCCCATCAGGCTGGGAGATCCTCTAAGCCAGGGACCATGTACAAGCCCTCTTTGTCCCCAGAATTGCCAGCACAGGTCCTGGTGCCCAGTAGGTACATGATGAGTGCTCTTGGAATAACTGGATGTTGTTGAGTAGTCGCCCCAGAATGTGCTCAGTGGCACCCCTCCCTATGGTATGCTGTCACCTGTGGGTGGATAGGTGCCCGGGTGTGGGGAAGGAGGTGGCCTTTGTGGGTATCTGCTACTGCCAATCCAAAGGAGACTACTCTGGCCGTCTCCACCCAGTACCCCGGGAGCTCCCAGAGGGCGGGGACCACATCTCCCTCATTCCGTAACTGTCGCTCCCAGCAGAACACCTGGCACACAGTAGGTGCTTATTCAATGGGCTGCCCCTAGAGGAGGTCTATGGTGAGGGACCTCAGGGCTCAATCTCCAGTCTGGACCTATTCTTGGGTTCCATCACTGGCCTAGCTGGGGAGGAGGAGACCCATGGGTCTCACGTGCATGTGGGGGTGTGGTGTGTGTGTGTGGTGGAAGTGTGACTGTGGGCATGTGTGGGAGTGTGGTGTGCGTGCATACATGTGTGTGCGCACGTGTGCGTGTGTGAGAGTGAACACGGCAGGGGCCACGTTGCTCTGACAGGCTGGCCTCTAAGGGATGGAGGTCCTGCCCTGGGCAGCAAGC